CAGCTTCCAGGGCGAGTGTGCCGACGCCAGCAGCAGGTCCTCATAGTCGCGCGGGGCAACGGCAGCAATCCGAAGCACCCGGGGTGGGCATGTTCCGCGCGCGCTCTTCGGTTTCGAGATCGATGAGGGAGACCGGGACTGCTCACATCTGTTCATTTATCATAGGGCGGTGAGCCCACGCCTGATGCCGGGGCAGTCGGCGAGCGCGAAGCTTTACTGCGCACGGGGCGCCCCGCCAAGAAGCGAGGGCTGGCAAATTCGAAAGCTGGCGCCGATGCCGAGGCCCCGCCCACGAGGCCGCTCCGCATATTGCTACGCCGCCGAGCTTGGCAACGCGGGCGTCCATGATCGAAGTCTGATGGTCGCTCAGGCAAAACGCCCCACGGCTGACAGCATCGCGTCCTGGGCCAGGGGGAGGAAGAGGCCGCGCTTCCGCCGCCGCGGCATTCGCGGCGACCGCGCCCCGCCAAACAGTGAAAAGCTGAACTTGTTGCCGACGTCCGCCGTTCCAGCTCGTGCGTCGCGGCGTTTGCAGGTGAGTCCGCGAGCCCGATGCACCGCGCCACGTCCGCAACTGATCCTGTCACTCCTCTGCCCGGCCATGGCTTGCACGCCGTCGCCTCGGGCCCGCGGGAATGGGAGCTCGCCGCCTGCTTGTCGCGATTCTGCTTCGCGCCATCCATCGCCGGAGCTGCGCCCAGGACGTCATCTGACCATTCCAACTGGTTCGCCACCTCGTGCGCGGCGCTGCCGACAGGGAAGAGCAAAGCACGGTGAAGGTCATCAGCGCAGGCGCAGCGAGGCCCGCCTCGCCACCCGCCTGCAAGCCCCCATCGCAATAAAGACGCCCCTGACTTCTGATCCATCGCTGCCGCCCAGAACAGCATGGGTCTAGCGAATGGGCCCAATGAGACACTCACGCTGAAAAGGTCGCCCATCACTCCACCAACGTTCGCTCCATGAAGAAATCCATCGCCACCCTGCGTCTCGACGACTCCGCCTCGGCAGCGATTCTCGCGCGCCACCCATTCCTCCGGTGCCGCCCAGGAGACGCTTCCACATGTATATGATAAGTTTTTTTATTGTTTTGGCTGGCAAAACTGATCTTTGATTTGCATTACTTCAAAGAGAAACACTGCGTGGCCAAGATTGCGCCCTTTCCGCTGTCGTGCTCGGCGAAACCGGAGGCCTGCGGGTTTTTCGTGCATCCAGTCGCTGGGCGACGATATCCTTGAGGATGGACGGGCGTGTGTGTGTGTGTGTGTGTGTGTGTGTGCGTATGTTTGTGTTTGTGTTTGTGTTTGTGAGTGCGCGTGTGTGTGTGCGCGCGTGAGAGCGCGCGTCTGCGCGCGTGCGCGCGGGCCCTCTTGCCTCGGGCGCGCGATTTGGAGTTGCCCTTGCTGCGTCCACGGCCCGTGCTGCGTGATCCATTAGGTGGGGCCAGATCAGTCCTGCGAATGCTGGCCAATCCAAGCGCAACCAATTCCTTATATTCGTCCATCTTTACCTCCCCGCCCTCGCAACCAGTCTTGCAGGCCCTCTGGGCGTGGGCGGTTTAGGGCGTTTCCTCTTCCACCCGCCATCTCCCCCTTCGGGGATGGGGTTCGCCCCTCCTCCCTGCCGGGGCGATGGAGACGGATCGAACCCGCTCCGGACCGATCGTCGACCACTTCGGACTGATCACAAGCAGTTGCGCCCGGTCCGAAGTGGTTGCGATGTTTTTGGGTCGCTTCAATGCGGTTTCGGTTAAGGTAGCGGTCATAAGAGCGCTTCTGGGTGCACTGAACTCCATTAAACCGC